ATTCTCTGTCTCTCTGCAGGAGAGGGTGTTTCTGCCAGGGGCATGCCCTGCAGTGGTGGGTAGCAGGCTGGTGCCAGAGAGACATGGCAGTAACATGGCAGAAGCACACTACTCCAAGAGTGCCAGCTAGGCACTGACTGGGCTGCAGGATTAAATAGCATTAGTCTTCTACTGCCTTTTGTGTGGGCAGCCTTTGACCTGACATACCTTACTTCTTCCTCCCTGCCTGCTCCCTTCCTTGAACAAAAGCTGAACGAATGCAGCCGCTCTTTGCAGTATCTACATGCCCCTATCTTTAAGGCACTGGGCACTGAACTTCACAGTGCCGTGGCCCTATTGTGGCACAAATCTTTTCCTCTTTAATCCATACTTTGTGTCCTTGATATTATGCTTTCAAAATCTCATCATTTAGAAGAAGCCTAATTTATGAAAGAGCTGATTTATAGCTTCTGATTTATACCACATACTTTCCTGGAGTTGCTGATGCTGACCTTGCCATTTTTAAGAGAGAAACAAAGTTAAACTTCTGCCAGACAAACCAGGTTTAAAGATCAGTGAGGAAGGAGACTGACTGTCCCAACAAGAAGTTATGGGGAGCTAGTAAAGCAAACTGAGAAACATGAAACATTTATTATTCACTGGCAATAATGGTTTCCTGTTAAAATTGGCTGTTTGACAAAGGTGATGAATTTAATTCCTTGCTTTCTCATTGGGGAATTAGGAAGTTAGCATGGGACAGGAGCAAAAAAATCCTCTGCCTTCTCTAGAGAGTAAGCTAAAGCTAGCCAAAGCTAAAGTTTGGAAGGTGTTCAGGAACCACTGTCAGGAATTTTGTGATTGTCAAAAAGTGTCAAAAAATATTGAAGTACTGTAGTTGTCCTGGAAGCCAAGCCATTGTTCACCCCCACGCATGTCCATGTGGAAGCAGCTCAGTGAGTGCTCATTTAGGACATATCCTATGAAATAGCTGCAGAACAACTTCTCATGAGTGTCAACACAATTTAGTGCCTGTCAGGACGTGACAGTGAGACTGTGGACTTTTTAAATGTCATATTGACAGTGAATTTTTTGCAAGTTTGGATAGCTAAAAGGATTGAAACTCATTATCTGCTGTGAAAGTCTGACAAATATGGAAGATGTGATGAAGGAAAACACCTTGTTTTACATATTTTTTCATTTTTAGGTTTAACTTTAGAGCTCCTTGTGCTTTTAATGGCTGCAAAAACAAAACAGCTTCATAGCTGCTCAAAGGTGCAGAAGAGTTATTTATTAAGTGCTATTTCAGACTTTGTGCTTGGACAGGCTGGGCTGTAATATCAACCTCCAAATTAGTTAGTAGCACTGCTGAGGGATGTTTTCCAACATGTGTTTTTAGTACTGCTAGATTGGAGCTTAGAGTATGGATTATTTAAGGATTTTTTTTTTGAATGGGACCACACTGAAGATGAACTGGAGTGATTCTGCGCTTGAGTCAGCAAACATATTATAACTGTCTGTACAACATGCAAGAGCAGACAGATGCAGCTGACCCTGTTGCTGAAATAGTAGTACATTGCAGTAGATATCCTTTCAAAAGCATTGTGAAGAGAACTTTAAAAGACATTATCTTAAAGGAGAGACACCTGCTCACTGCATATTAAGACCACTGATTTGAACAACTGTAGATCTGAAGGTCAGTCAGGGTTGCTGTATTATATATGCCATGTTTAGACCTTGTCTACCAGTGGCTTAATGGTCAAACAGCAAATATATCCTGATAGAGATACAATTTTAGAGACTTTGTGTTTATGCACTGTTTCTGGGAAGTAATGGATTAAGTGTCCGGTACTAGGGTTAAAGCCATTCCCTATTAGACCTTCTCCTTTTTTTATATTTAGCCAAAATGGTCTATGATTTAGAAGACAGAGCAATTATCTCGGTACTAGGGTTAAAGCCATTCCCACAAGGATGCTACCAATGTAAAGGTGCTATTAGACCTTCTCCTTTTTTTATATTTAGCCAAAATGGTCTATGATTTAGAAGACAGAGCAATTATCACTGTCTGTCATGTGGAAATTACTGCTCCCACAGCTTAGTCAGCAGAAGGCACCAGGTTTTTATATGCTCTTGCATCTACAGTAAGATAAATTGTCTGAGCTTATTCCAGCTTCCAGTGAGGATGCTTTGAATAACTCAGACAAGAGTGCCTCAGAATGCAATTGTGTGGCTAGACACAAATAGGTGTTTCATATTACCTTCAAGTCGCCGTGATGTCCTGTAGTCACCCCTATAGTCACCAACACTTTCAACAAACAATTATAAGCCACCTGTATCCCACTGCTGCGAGATTTGCACTGCAAATTCAGAATTACAGTGCCATCACTAGTGTTTGTACAAGGATATCAAGAATTAATATGTGTCAATTCAATGTCTTTAGAAAACATAACTTTTTAATGCTGGAGGATATTGTTTTTGGTTTTGCTTACAGTGAGTGACCTGTGAAGGACTGGAGCAGACTACTGACATTTTTGGCTGTTTTTTGCCAAATACTATTTAGTTGGTACTTTTTTCCTGTTTGTGCAAAAGGACAAGAATTTATTGAGATAATTTTTTGGGATTAGAAAGTTACTGTTTATTTGCTACTGAAGCTGTTTGAGTTTGCTGATATTCCTTGTGAATTTAACAACATCGATTTACCTCACCACATTATTTGCCTATAGTTTTATCCCCATGTAAAAGTTATTGCAAATGAGTGCATGAAGAAGAATGCTCTAGCAGTTATGACAGATTGGGAAAACCTCCATGAAAGACACTTTCTTTTATCTTTTCCTCTGTGAAACAATAATTTCTGACGGAAATCTTAAAATCAAACTGAGAGAGCAGGCACAGTAGTGGGATCATGCTTGTGTCAACCTGTACATCCACCTGTTAGACACCCTTTTCTGCAGACCTCCACCATACCCTAAATCTTTCCAGTAAGAAGCCTTGTGTGTGTGTGTCTGCATGGACACTTGCGAGCTGAGAGCTGCCACTGTGGAGCTTGGGCCAATGAGTTCTACAGTAAATGTATGAATCTTAGCAGCTTGTGCAAAAAGAGACAGAATTTCCAGCTGTTGTGAATGCATATCATCTGTGTACTGGACACAAGTGTGTCATATAACACGTTTTCTGACTGGTGGCCTACACAAAGAGTGTGACAAGTGACTGAAATGTGAAACATGCATTTTGGTGATTCACTCCATAAATCACAAATTAGTGTGCTTTAAAGTACAGTGTCTCTTTTTAGAGACTCTTATTATGTGAGCAATATTCAATAGTACTCTCTTGCCTGTCACAGTTCTGCACCTTATCTCCTTTGAGGTCTTTATTACAGGCTTTGAGCTGCTACCTAGATCAAGATAATATTCTCTGTCCAAGAATAGGACCTGGGACAACACTTCCTTTATTATTGATCTCCAGAGATATTGGAAGTTCAGTCTGTAAGGCCAATGATAAAACTAGTTAAAACTAGAAACAAGTACAAAAAAACCCACAAAAAACAAAAAAAAACCAACAAAAAAACCAAAAAAAAACCCCAAAAAAAAAACCAACCAAAAAAAAAAAAAACCCAAAAAAAACAAACAAAAAAAAAAAAAAACTCAAAAAAGAAAACAACAACAATAAAAAACCAACCACATTAGGGTAGTTTATTTCAGAACTAAAAAAACAATACTAGGTATATTTGGAAATGAGACTTAGCAACTGCAACGTGCAGGATGTATCACTTGCTGACCTTGCCAGCTAGATGTATGCATGTCTGGGAAGGAGAAGCTCAGTCTCCCAGAGCAGCCTGCAGGGACAGGAGGTTCCTCAGAAGGGGGATCAGCAATCTGTGCAGTCAGACCTCTAAACCAAACTTCCTGACCTGCATTTGTAGGTAAAAAGCATGGCTTAACCTCTGAATCTCTCTGTACCCAGACAGGGTTTTGAAAATTTATCTCTGCACAGGAACTCTTGTCCTGAATTTCAGTCTGCCTGACCTGTCTTAACAGTTTTGGTGTATGTCTGTCTAAATTATTCCTGTGGAGAAGGGAACCCTCTAGTGCTCTTAAGGCAGAGAGGAGCTTGTTCTTTGAAACCTAATAATTGTTCTGCCTAATTCCCTTGCCTGCTTCTGATTATCTGTAGAGGCTGAATGCCTCCAGAGGCAGGGGAAGACTGAAGAGCCTTCTCTGACAAGGGAGACGCAGTGTTCTGGATCACATACCTAACATATTGTAACAGAAAACTATTGCTTTCCAGTTTCAGCTTTATTTTAAAAATCAAATCATAGAAAGAAGAGGGTGCAAAAGCTCCCTCAATTATCAATGGAAGTCATTGGCTCAGTTTTTTGCCCACTCCCTTATCAGTCTCCTAGGGAAGACTTTATCCCATAGGAAATGTAGTATTATCTCCTGGGTGGAGCTGGTAACTGGTTTACTACTTTTTATCATGAATATGCTGAGTGGATCAGAAGAGAGAAAACATTTGAATGCAGCAGGAAGAAAATAAAAAGCAAACAATTATGAATTTACCACAGCTGAGTATTTTTTCAAGTCTTAAGTCTAGTTTAAATGAGAAAGCTTAACACTGTGCACCAAGTATTCTCTTATAAATATCCCAAGCTCAACCTGTATATATCTATGAGGAACTTCCATTGATTGTTTTTTTGCATAAAAACCTTTCATGCTAGATGCAGGTTATTTAAAAGCACCAAGTTGAAAGATAAAGAGAGAAAATACTTTAAAACTCTTTCTATAAAACAGCAATCATCTTATCTGCCAAAATCACATGTAATGGGCCATTAGTTCTTTGTTCCATATCCTGTGTTTGAAAAGTCTTACCTTATAAAGATGTCAGGACTAAACCCATTATAAGAAATTTCCTCCAAGGAACACATCCATTTGTGGAGAAATGTGTATATTATGCATGGTAACTAATACATATGGCCTGCCATTTATGAAAATGTGCTGATGCTTCATTTTTGTGTTGTTATTTTCCAGATGGGAGTTGCTGTGGTGGATTCATCTGTTGCAGGACTTGGTGGTTGTCCCTATGCAAAAGGTGCTACTGGAAATGTAGCCACAGAAGATGTGATCTACATGCTGAATGGTCTTGGGATCAACACAGTAAGATATTTTTACTTTCTACTTAAGATTTTAAGGGAAAAAAATTATAGGAAGCATACAATAGTACCTCACAATACCTTGTGCTGTACAATAAAATATTCAGACCCCATGGTAGTTTTTGCAAACTCAGTGCTTTAATATGGCTTGACACATAACAGGAATGATGTTGTCTTCATCAGCAATTTAGACTAGAAATGGTTTATGTATTTAACATAATTTGAATAATCCACTTCTTCCTACCTGGAGCTATGAGGAACTTAGTGTCAGCTGCTTTGTGTCATTACTCTGCCTCAGTAACCACAAAAAATTCAGTACTGTAGATATTGTTACAGAAGGCTGATCATCTCAACAATGGAAAGACTGAGCAGAGCTCAGCTTTTGTCACAGCTTTGGATTTGGCTCATAGTGCTTATTAATTTGTTGTCAATTTTTCTGACTTCAAAGTTGAAAAAAATTGTGGTGTTTGGCACCCAGGCATAGGACATCATTGTTATTTCTCAGGTATCCACTTAATATATTCCAAAATTGTACAGAACCTGTTACTGGCTAGGAGGCTTCACAGTCATTTTTATTATCAGTCCTGTTCTTGGAGGAGAGGGCAGAGCAGCTTATATGCCCTGAGCTGCGCTTTAATGAACCTTACCAGTGAGCATCCACACCTCAAGAGCACTCATTTAGTATCCCTGGCTGGTTGGCATGTTAATTATTCTGTGTTCCTAGGACTCATTTACTGCCTTCTTCAATAAATGTGCTCTTTGGTCTTCCTGTCCATCCCCATTTATCTGGATATGTGGCATAATGAGTTCGTGCTACCTCAGGCATTGCCATTACTTTATGTTTAATTTCCACATGGACATGGAGAGTCAAGTTCAAAGGAGAACATATAAAGAACAGCCAAAACTACGAAGTGCGTTGTTTGCACTTAAACTACCACAAAAAGAAATCCAAATGCCTGATATCTGAAATAAGAAAATTTGAGTTATTGAGGAGCTCATTGGAGCTTATCACTTGTTTGTAGGCTGCAGTTCCGTGTGGTGTACAGGCCAATGGACTTCCTTGACATGAAAGGATTGCAGAACTTGTTTCTGAATTGCACTTTCCCTGGGCACTGTTAAAGCATATTCAGTTCCTTACAGAGCTCACTGTAAGCATTTATCTGCTCTCGTTTGCTTTTTAGGGAGTTCAGGGTAGATATCAGAAAATGTTCAGTCATCAGTGTCCACTGTACAGGTGGACTTTGTTTTGAACTGTTTGTACACACTTTGGGGTAGTTTTTCTTCATGAAGTGTTTATTCTTTTGAAACAATACAATTCTTTGAAATAAGGGGGAGAAATCATGCATTTCACTTTACATTGCTGTGTACTTTAGACTTATGCTTTCAGTATAGCTTTCCTTGGGCAAAATACTCATTGACCTTTCCAACTGACTCATAACAAAAGGAAGCAATTAAGTAAAAATAGTTGGATTATATGAAATATACCATGTCCCAGGCTTCTTGATAAGATTGGTTAATCTGTTAACAATCTGGTGGCCAAGCAAGAATATGTCTTGTCCTAAAGGTTGATACCAAATCCCATGGAGACAATCTCACCATCAAATGCTTATTTCTTTTGTTTGGTTTGATGGTGATTCTGTTTAGGTTTTGTTTAATTTTAAATTTTAGATTATGCAATAGCAAAACACAAGTCCTTGCTTTTGAATCCTTTTTCATGCTTTTTGCATGAAGTTTTGTAGTGTTGGATAATAAATAAGTATAGTACATATTTAGACTATATTTTTTTCTAACTTCTAGTTGTGATTCCAGCTCTTTATTCCAGATTCTTTTGAGGTTGAAAGATATTACTCCAGTATTTGGTCCACTGCTGATGGGGCAAGAAATCATTCTCAAAGTAGTAGAACCTTTCAAACAACTAGAAGCCGTAACTATCTGTAAATCACTGTAGCTTTACTGATCCCCATTACTGACCTATAACATGAATCAGGCCTTTTGTTTGCAAAAATTAGACCCTGGAGCAAAAAACTTGGAGTCTAAGCATTTTCAACATGTGCATTTATTATTCTTAACATTTTTCACCTCTTTTCTAGGGAGTAAATCTTTGTGCCGTGATGGAAGCTGGAAACTTCATCTGCAGAGCTTTGAACAAGAAAACAAACTCAAAAGTTGCACAAGCTTCCTTCAGTACTGGAACTATCAATTAAATGGATTTTTCTTTTTGCAGCTTGATTACATTTTCCATTTACCTTGATCAAGGACATTTGCTTTAGGAAAAGAAACAAGAAAACCATTGCATCAAAGAAACAAAATAGAACCAATATTTTTTTTTTTTTTAAGGGAAAAGTTATTGTACTGTACTGTCTTGTCAGGAATTGTCTGATTTGTAAGTAAGAAATAAACAACTGTAGTGCAGAACCCTGTACTTCGTACTTCTCCAGATGAGGAAAATGTATAAACACCAGGAAATTTTACCATGTTTTAAATTGAATTTTTAGTTCTTTTCAGGAAAAACGGGTAGAAACAGTGAATACATAGTTAAATTTCAATCAAGATGTCTTTCAGAACAGTATAAATATTTTCAGTAGTTTATGAGATCTCACACTGTGTGTGGCCTTTCTATTATGTATTTTATTTATCTGAGTTCTCACTTTTCATTTGTCAAGTCACTGTGTTATGAACACAGAGCCAAATCTGAATTCACTGTAAGAATTTTTTAGCAATAGAACTTCTTTTAAATTTTGTTTAACATCTGCTAAATTATGGATGACTTTATCTTGTTCCAAGACATTGTGGTGAATGGCACTCTTCCAGATCCTTCCAATCCTCCAGCAAATTTCCTTATTTGTTACATATGTTAAATTTGTTGTACTTGCATTTTTTGGTCAACTTATTAAAACCTAATTATATGAAGCAAATAAAAATTGGTGAGGTTTTCAACATCATTCAGGTTCATAGTGGTGTAGAAGGGGCTACATTTGCATCCAAGGTTTCATCAAAAAATTAGATTTTTCATTCTGTAGTCTATGAATTGATATTCTCATTCAGAAATCACAGGTTTTTAGGATAATAGTATTTTGCTGGACTAGCTTACACAAAGGAGACCACTTAGAATTTTTTTTGTGCTCTACTGATAATCATACTCTTCTTTTAGTTCAACAAGATGCCAATGAACTACACTCTTCAATAATCAATAGATTAGATCAATAATGAACAAATGGACAAATTCAAAGAGCCTTATCCTATATATAAATGTTCAAGCGTGCCATGAAAGTACTGTCATGTTTTTCATCCTGAAACTTCAATACTCTTACTGATTGGTTGTGTTGGACCTGTCTGTACGTCTCTGTGTACTTAATTTTGATCTATATTTTTTCTGAACATGGCCTGTTGACATGAAAATCCAAAACCCTGGACTGTGGTCTTCATCCATATTCCCAATTTTCCTCAAAAATGTGAAATCTTGTCAAAAAGTAAGATGAAAGAAAGTGGAAGATAACACATAAAAAAAGAAAAAGCTTAATAATTTTTTGTCTGCAACTCAAGTCTGCCAAGTCACAGCTGAGTCATGGTTTGCCTTTGAAATCCCAAAGTGATTTTTTCTGAGATCTTTTAGCCAGTTGTGTAGTTTAGAATTGGCATAATTTAAGGAAGTCAGTCTTTGCATTCCAGGCAACACAAAGCTATAAATTTGATATTGAGATTTGATATTCTGTTTATGTTGTAATGATAGTCAAAATTAATATAAGCTACTTTGTTTCACTCTTATCCTGGTGCAAGTCAAAGTATAAAAAAAGAAATGTGTTCAGGCAAGGCAAGAAATATCTTGCCTATCATTCCGAAATACTAAACCTTTCCTGCAGAGTCTAGTAAGAAGACTTTCAAGTACTCCTGAAAGTATAAACATCCTGATTTTCTTGACCTGCCCTGGATGCATGGTTGGATCACCACAAAAAACTCTTTCCTCTTTTTCCCCATGTTTCAGCTGGGACTTTGCTATTTAGCAGCCGCTATAACTCATATATCAAAACATGAACTTAAATAAAACCAGGTCTTGAACCATTCACAGTCTTAAAAATTCTGTAATGGATTAGACCCAATGAAGAGGTAAGGAAACTACAGCAGTACAGTTAAGCCTAAAAGTGGTGCCAGAATTGACATCTTAAAAACTCCCTAATTTATGTGTCATTTACCCCTGAAGGTGACTAACCTTTCTGTAATACTTTCCTATTTAATAATAATTTTTCCTGTTTAGTTTTCTCTGTAGGCACAGAATTGGCTCATTTTGAGGTGAACTATGCAGTCTTCATGTAGGTCCTGATGAATTTTGTTCCACCCAAGACCCTCTGAGCAAGCATATTTAATTAACATAAACAATATTGAGCTTCTCAAAGACTGAAAGTGAAGTCAGCCCTTGGAAAAAAAGCAGTTGTGATGCAAACCTGAATGTGAGACTAAACAACTGAAGTGAGACTGACCTTGCTGCTCAGCCTGGGGAGATTAAATACACACCCATGACAGGACCCGAGGGAACGGCCTGAAGTTGTATCGGGGAGGTTTAGGTTGGATATTACAGAAGTGTTCTTCACCCTGAGGGTGGCTGGGCACTGGAAGAGCTCCCCAGGGCAGTGGTCACAGCACCAGCCTGACAGAGTTTGAGAAGTGTTTGGACAATGCTCTTGTGCACACAGTGTGACTCTTGGGGATTATCCTGTGCAGGGTCCAGGAGCTGGACTCAATGATCCTCGTGGGTCCCTTCCAGCTCAGCTAATCCTGTGATTATGAACTGAAAAAGGACACACTTTCTCATAAATCTGGATGAATTTGTGCCACTGGGTAGAATGGAATTAAAAATTCCTAAGCCCCGAAAAATCCCAAGAAAAGGATGTCAGTGCCTCTGCAACAGATGGCAGCGTTCTTTTTCTTGATGGTGGTGGAGAGGCCTTCAATTATCAGCCAAGTAAGGAACTGGACAGATAGTGTCCATTTTTATGCCTGTGTGCACAGTGCATCCTAGGCTTCTCAGCATCTGGACTGTCTGGTTTGCAGACAGTTGGCTCTTGATTCAAGGCTCTTGATTCTCCCCATGCAGTGAAACAGGGTACCTATTAAATCATGTGGATGAACAACCTAAAATGCCTCAGTTCTTTATTGGGTCTGTTTTAGAAACTACTTGGAAACTTGTGGAGAGCCTTAATTGCAGGTCTGTTATTCTGTAATGATGTGAGCATTGGAAAAGATGAGCAGTCACATCTGGAGCCTGTACTTTACCCACATGTTCAGCTTCAACCACATCGTGAGTTATCGTAATCCGGGGTGGAGGTCACAGACAAATAGATTGTTTGTCAGGATTGTTATGAGAGAAAGAAACATAGAGCCAGAACAAAAAAAAAAAGCAAACCCCAACCCAGTGTTTATGTGCCAAAATTGCCACCTGGGATGAATTTAGGTCTGTGGCTCCAGGGGAGCAGTCCCTATAAAATCCTTGTTTAGTTGTAGTATGATTGAGAATCTTGAGACATGTTATATTCTGCTTACTGACATTTTTTGGGTTTGTAAAATGCTGCTGCTCTGCTTTCCTGGGCTGGCATCATTTTGACTATGCAGAACATTTTGACACCTAATCTCTAGCTTCAAAAAATAAGCATCAATTCCTTCTAATAGCAAAGGCTAATCCAATAGCCATGACATGAGTGTGCATCACTCACATTGGCAGCATTGAATTCAGCACGTAGTAAAACAGGTGAGATTATACCCCTTCAAAAACATGCCAAGGCATGGGATGAGGCTCTCCAGTGCTTCCGACTTCCTAAACCTTTATGCTTATATTCAGAGTGATCCATCACTAGTGATGTCTGATCTTTTATTCCCTGTCACTGTCCCCAGCTGAATACATTGCTGTCACTTCACCCTGAAGTAGGCCCCTGGCTCTGGAGGGCTTGCATCCAGGTGTTTGGCTTCCATGGGCAGGTGTTCTTATCACAGTGTCATTATAAAAATTATAAGTCAAGATATTGCATTGTTGAAGGCATGACTTCAACAATGTCATGTGCTTTGTCGTGTGCTTTGTTGGAGAAAAAGTTGATCAGTTCCAGTAGTACGGGCATAATCATTCTTCAGTGCCTTCCAGAACACAGCAATGACATAGATCCCATACAGTTCTAATGTCTTCCAGCAGCAGCTTGCTTTGTAGTTTAAACTTTTATGTATTAGGGCAACTTGGCTCTGGACCAGCACTTTAATGGCTCATTTTTGTGTATAACCAGAGCTTATGAAATAAGAACTAAATATTCTAGTGTTGTGAATAAGTCCAGAGAGGCTTTGGCTAATTTTCCTCTCTTAATAGTGTCATTTGAGTTCATAAAACTTTTATTATTGTATTAAGGAGTCACCAAATGAAGACTACAAGTCTGTGAGACAAAATTCTTATGTTTGGGATCGGTGTTGTTGAAATGAAATAATGCTTATCCAAAGAGTTAGTGTGATTATATAAGATCTGCTCATTTTTTTTCACTGAGTTTGTTTTAAGGGGTAGAAATATTGTTTAGTTACTGTGATATCAGAAAACCAGTACTTTCTGCCACTGAATTTTTCTGTGATTTCTGACACTGCCTTCAGTTTGCTTCACTGATTGTGAAGTATCCAGAAAAGTAGCTAAACAGGTATAAGAGTAGTAAGAAGTAAATTATTTCCAGTTCTTGACTTGCTGATCAAAATTAATCAGCTTTTCTTTTGTTATATTTTTTAAGATTATTTTTCTCTACAGTCCTGCTGTAATGCAGTGTTGAGCTTCATTGCTGCAATAACACGGCAGGCAGGACTACAGCCAAAGTCAATTTAGTCCTTTGAAACCGATGTCAAAGAGATCATATGTTTGTCAAGGAATTGTCATGTATCCACCTGGTTAAATGCATTTGTGATTTTGCAATATGTGGTGTTACAGCTGAAATAAAATCTGTCTCTCTGTTTATGGAAACTGATGTGCTCATGTATTATGCCAGATTCAGCAGCTCTGACTAACCAGCTCATGCATACAACATTAGCAAATATAAGCTGTCACTGACGTGTATGCCTCTGTTGACTTTGTTACCTTGTAATCCATTTTGAGTGCTTTTTCTTAGGATTACCTTTTAATCTGGTGTTCCTGTGTGTTTTTATAGTAGACAAATCTCTTTTAAGTTACTGGGGAAATATTTCTTTCCTCCATCAACTGAACATTAAAAGCTACAGGCAGGAATGGGCATAGGAGTTAAAAAAATTCAATGAGGCATTATCTAACTTCAGATGTTCCAACGCAGGATAGAAATCTGTGCTGTCTAAGTGATGTCTAAGATTGCCTACACACTTCATGGGAGACTGAATGACTTCAGCATGTGGTCTGAAACATCAAAATGCTGATGAGGGAACTTTCTCGGCAAAATCAACAGCAAAATTCCCTACCCCATGCTACTCTTGAAGGGCCTCAACATGACCTGCAATTAGTTATCTTCACTATCTTGAACATAAGGGTTAGTACTTTCCTTGGTGGAAATACAGCCACAGTCATTTTCAAAAAGAACTGAATGATGTTCTCTGTTTTACGGCACCATCTTCTGGTGTTGGTGCTTCCACCTTCTGCGTTCCAGGTTTGGTCTGATGTCTAGCCCAGAGCACTGGGAAGTGATTCCCACAACAGCCTCAAAAGGCTGAGCCCATGCCTATCCAAGGAGCTCATTCTTTTGACCAGACAAGCAGGGGAGACAGCCAGGGAAAAATGTTCCTTTTGAAGAATTCAAGACTCACTGTGGCATGACAGAAGTAGAAACTTGGGTTTGCAGCCTTGTATCTTCACATAAGGAAGATTTGTCCCAAAAAATCATCGCACATTTAATTTGAAAAAATTGTTAGATAAAATGCATAAACAATTTTCAAAGAAAATACTGGAACCCAGCATTCTCCCTTTCAGATGAGAGTGCTGTAAAGGCAAAAATTTATGAGCCTTCATTTCTTCACTTTATGATGTCCCAGCTCCAGTGGAAAGAGGAATGAAT